AGTTATTTCACTTGAACTATCACCAGATACAGATATTGAATGATCAGATGTTGATTCCATTGAAATTACACCACTTAATCCTGAAATATATGTATCTATTCCAATATCAAACTTCTTCATTCCAGATGCAATAACACTTGGTGAATTGATTTGAATTAATGTATTTCCATCAATACATTTATGAGACTCAGGATTAAGATATGATGTTTGTTTATTTAATTCAATATTTTTATTATTATTTGTATAACATTTATATGTTGGTTGTTGTTGATTATCTGTATTTTGAGTAAGATATGAATTAATAGGAATAACTTTACTACCTTCAAATTTACATTCTTTATTATAATTTAAGAAATGTTCAGGAATTGTGTTTTTATTATCAATTAATGTTACTTTAAATGACTTAAATATAAATTCATTTCCACTTGTAAATGAAATTGTATTTGTTGTAAAATCAACACTACTACAACTAATCTTACCTGTTCCAAATGTTGTTAATTCTGAAATGATAATACTATTTCCAGTAACTGTTAGATCCCCACTTGTAGTAAGTGTTTTTGCTTTAATATCTCCTGAAATAATCATTGAATTTAAAATAACTGGTGTATCCGTATCAATTCCATTACAATTACCATATACTGTAAGTGTTTTGTCTTTATTATTGTCTTTAGCTATATTCTCAATTTTAACATTATCAACATTAAGAATAAGATTTTTTGTTTGTCCAGTAAGATGAATAGTAGATCCTCCTTCATATGTTGATTTAATAGCATAATTGATTGTTTCAGATGTTACACTTGAGTCTGTTTCTAATTCAATATAACAATCAGATGTTTTGCATTCTATCAATTCATGTTCATAACCAAGTTTCAATTTATTTGAATTGTTATTTGAATTAGTAATGATAATCTTTGTTGGTAACTTTTTAGAATTACATTCATCTTCTTTATCTGTACATATAGAATAATAGTCATGATATAATAAACATATTGTTTTACTTTCTTCGTCACTTAATTTTGAAGTAAATAACATATTT